ATACAATATTATCTTTTATATATTCTAGATAGTTAAATTAGGTGAGGTAAATACCTAGATTTCATTTGAAACCTAAAGCTTTAAACTGCATTTCAAGAGTCATTGCAAGTAAACCCAATAATAATAACACAGGAAATTTTTGTACTGTATGACCAGAATAAAACCAGTAACCAATTCTGATTTTTTTGTTTTTATTTTTAGGTGTTTAATGAAATGACGGAACTGCTTTCATCGTACAGAAATTATGATAGTTACCGACGTGCCTATAATGAGTGCAGTAACTTTAAGATCCCAATACTTGGGGTCCACCTGAAAGACTTGATATCACTTTATGAGGGCATGCCAGACTACTTAGAGGACAAAAAAATTAACATATACAAACTATACTCTCTATATAACCACATAAATGAGCTGATACAACTTCAAGAAATGCCACTTCCCTTGGAGGCTAATATGGACCTTGTTCATTTGCTTACAGTAAGTCTGTTAGATGAGATAAATACCTCCATTTAAAAAATAATTTCATATACCTCTCAAGTAACCAAGTAGAGAATTTTATTAATTATAAATACGTAATATTGTAAGATTTTTCTTTCCCAAATGGAATGTACAAAAATAGTAGAGAAAAGTTAGTGATACTGATTTATATGGCAGCAATGGTAGAAGTGCCAGTTCAGCAGTATGCTTCCAAGTCTTTCTATAAGGCAAGGAAATGTTTGTTATATATATACTATATATGACAGGACATAAATTAAAATATATACTTCATTTCAGAGCAGAATCTTCTAATCTGCTAATATTTCAGGGCACATAATTTTCCTGTTTGTTCTCAGATTTTTCCAACAGTCTTTCTCCTTCTGTTTCCTTTAGTCATCTGCTCTCCCATTAGCAGGCAAATCAGTTTGAAGATGCATTAATAATTCCATACATACGTCAATAATCCATGGAAGTAACATTTGAACTTTTTGTTTTTGAGTGTTGAACTACTTTTATTTCCCTAAGAATCTAAAATCATTCACTATTATGACTACAACAGTAATGCTTGCAGTTGTTCACAGGGAGTTGTTGCATGTCTGCAGTTTGAGTAAGGTTATTAATTGGATAAAATAGCGTATTTTTGTTTCTTATTTATATACATATGACTATGGTAGTGTTGGCTCTCTTAACAAGTTTATATTTTCTTTGGACTTGCCATAGATCGAGGCTTGTAACACATTCATGTCTGGGGTTTCTATTCAATTGTGTCTAGCGTATTTTCATGTAAATAGTAAAAAATGTTACCAGTCTTTAATCTCAGCTTGAAATTTGTTTCCAGTCAATAAAATATCTGCTATACTGTTTTCCAGGACATATGCAAAAGCAGAGATGTAAATTTGACCATTTTTTCAATTTCCTTTATATACCCAGCTGTAATATTTCTCGCTATATATAATTGCTGTTGAGAGCTAAAGGTTCTCATTAAATATATTCAAGCCCATCTTTTATCTTCATCATGTACTTCTTAGTTCAACACAGTCAACCACAGCTGGTTTGGATAAATATGACAAGTTTAAACAAGAGTTTTCTGAGAATTTGACTTGATGGACAGATTCATTAGAATAGTGTTTTTGTGCTTAGTTGCACGTTAGACCATTTGAATATTATGGGAGTAACATTATTTTTCAGGTTAACTTATTAACTGACTGCTAATTATGCCTATAGTCACTTCCTGTGCTGAGGACTGTAGCTGTGTAATGATACAGATTTCCAGATAATGGCAATAACAGTCTGTAATTTAGAAATGTACCCATTTCAAATCACTGTGAACACCTGCGCAGCTCAAGTGCATTTTTCCTAGGTGCCACCTAAATTAAAAATTAATCCACCAAAAAATACTTATTTACACTGGGAACAGGTTTATCAAGTGGTAGTGACTGGTTTGGAATTAAACTAATTTTGTGTTTGTTTTCAGCTGTCCCTTGATCTTTACTACACAGAAGATGAAATTTATGAGCTTTCATATGCGCGAGAGCCACGAAGTCACCGAGCTGCTGTAAGGGCCTTTACAGATTCTTAGCAAAAAACCCCCATAAGTTTAATGAGTAACATAACTTATTCCTTGCATTAATTTTATTTTATTTTATGTTACATTGAAAACATTTCACCTTTACAGACTGAGCAAAATCTGTTAAAGAATAAATTGTTTAGTTGGTGATGAAACCTAAGCTAGAATATGTGGGAGAGTTGACACCATATCAGGTTTTATAATATGAACACAAACACAAATGAAGTTACTTGTGTAGAGACATGACATCAGGCTTAATCTGGGCAATTGATACTGATTCTTTTAAATGAAAAATTCTTGTGGGTTTCATCATTTGAATTACATGAGTGTTATACTGTAGTTTTGTTCCTGTTTTATAAATATGGAAAAGATTCTGAATTTACAGGGCTGTCAGTGAACTGTAATAATTGAAGGAACAGCCACTGTTTTGGACAGTTCAGGGAAGAGCTCCCTCTGAAGTACCATGTAATTATCAAAAGTACAATGTGGGGTCCAAGAGGCCATTTGTCACAAATGAAGAAAGTGTAATCCAGAAAGTCTTTCCATGTGGTACTAATGAACTTCCATTCAATTTCTTCTAGCCTTTGACACCTTCTAGACCACCAGTAGTTGCAGACTGGGCTTCAGGAGTAGCCCCAAAACCTGATCCAAAAACCATCAGTAAACATGTTCAGAGGATGGTAGATGTAAGTATGGTTGGCCCATTTACCTTACATTTCGGTCACAGCCTTAATCTCTAGGTATGAGGAGATAGAAAGAAGGGAAAAAATACTGGACACATTCAAAGCTGTGCTGAGTTTGTAAGCACGTCTGTCCTCATAAACAGGTATTTCTGCATAGCTGTAAATAGCAGCTGTGGCCCATGAGGCATGGAAGGAAATTCCTTAAATGGCTAAGGAATCAGTGGGGAGTGTGAATGCCAGTGACATTCTTCCAAGGAGCCAGGGAGTCCATTTCTACCAGGGATTCCAACATCATGTCATTGGTGGAGTCTGAAAGTGGGCCTCTCAATGGCTTTATTACTAGCAGCCATTGCTTTTTCTCTTTCATGGGTCACCTGCTTTTCTGGAAACCATTCAGTAAGCTCAGGTGATTGATCCTAAAGATGACAGAGAGAGGTAAAGACTTTGTCTTTGCATCCTTGCTTCATCTCTTCTCCTTCTAGACACTTCTAATTTTGCTAGGTATCCTTTGATACACGCTATTTTGGAATACATTTCTAAATTTGGCTTCGGGGTGCTCCTTGCCTTAGGATCAGAGACAAACAGTAACGTCACTCCACACGTGGAAATAGGCGTCTACATGACAGTTCTGTCATATAACTGCTTTTCACATAACGTTCACCTGACGAAATTAACCAGACAGCTACACTGATTTGGCTACAGAGATCACCTCTGAGAACACTAATCGAGAGCATTTAGTACAAGTTGTACATGTAGGCATGGACATAATGATCTTAAAGCAAAACTGAAAAAGAGATGTGATTGTGTAGTGAAGCATTTAGTCCAGCCTATGTTGACTTATCTATGTTTTGCTACAAATCAAGATATATTAATGCTTCTTTAATGTCAAGAAAAAAGGCAGTTAGACTGTTGGCACTGTTTAATAGATACTAGGAAAAAGTGGGAGAGGTAATCCATGAATATTGTGGAGTCTTTCTAAAGTGGTAATGCAGTCCATCCTCATTAAAAACTGTTCTAATGTTACCTTGCACAGTCTGTCTTCAAAAATTATGACCATGATCAGGATGGATACATTTCCCAGGAAGAATTTGAAAAGATAGCTGCCAGTTTTCCTTTCTCATTTTGTGTAATGGCTAAGGATTGGTGAGTACCTAGCCCTGCTTATCAACTTTGTAGCATGTTTTTGAAGGGCTTTTGGGGGTTTTGTGTTTGAATTTTATTTCTGTCATTAGAGTGGTAAAATCATCCTCTTCACCCACAAATAGAAGTGAAAATATGACAAAAACATATTCTAAACGTATTGTGAATGACATCTGCATGAGCTTACAGAAGGCATAACCAGGCAGATGTAGGAGGAAAAACAGATAATAGAAAAATAAGTATTTTTTTTAAATGATATTCAGTATATACTAAGGAACTTTCCTAAGACGAACATGTTCCTCAAAATAGAGAATTGGCAAATGTATATTTTGGTCAAATTAAGACCATTTTTCTTACTATATTGAAGCATGGAAAAATACAGTAGTGATTATTCAGAGGTTTTTTATGAAGTAATTTTGGGGTTGCATCACATATGCAGATATTTCATTTATTCTTACAGGCTGCATTTTAAATGTGTAGATAAGTATCTGTAGACTTTGGGAGCGGTCAACAAGATTACCAAGATCACTACAGGTTTTGGCCTACGAAACTATTTCCATTTTAAATTGTGAAGAAAGATATGTTTAATTCTCCTTACGCTGTTAAGAAAATGCATGTCTCACAAACAGCTTCTCTTGTTTATTTCCAGGGAAGGTCTGATTAGCAGGGATGAAATAACAGCTTACTTTATGAGGGCTAGCTCAATCTATTCCAAATTAGGACTTGGCTTTGCTCACAACTTCCAAGAGACCACTTACTTGAGGCCTACTTTCTGCGACAACTGTGCTGGATTTGTAAGCTTACTTTTTAGTAAATTATGTTAACACTGCTGGGAATAATGCCCTTTTTTATCTCATAATCACCATGTGTCATATACAGAAATGGATCTATATAAAACACCAGTGAAGCTATATGGAACACCAGGCTGCTGCCTGGTGTAGCTATTTAAGGTACCCTTTACACTCCTTTTGCAGTACTATTACCAATTTAAACATGGCACCCGTCTTGTGGTGTTTGGTTGTGTCACCACACAGTCTCAGACAAGACTTCTAAATCCAGAGCCTTCCACTCCTTGGGACTGTTAGAACTCGTGTCCTGGTACAGACATGACATGCCCCCTACCTGTGGCAAAGAAAAATTTAGTAAAACTGACTGTCCTACCAACCCCCAGTTTAGCTAGGATCAAACAAGGGTGCTGAGATAGAATTTTCCATTTCCTCCAGCTCCACAGCTTCTCTGGAGGCTGTCAGGTCTGCTGATGTTTCATTACAGACTAGCTCAAGGTATCTTGTTTGAGATTGAGGAACACACAAAAAATATTCTTAAATATCTTATGCTAAAGAGGTAAACAGTTCATATTTTGACCTTAACATTAAAAGGGTAGAAAACCAAGATAGCCTGCAGGTGCTCAGGTCTTAGAAATGAGTGGAGCTTTTAGTGGATTTTTATCCATTATCAATGTGCAGATAGATATATTAATACTAAGTCTTTCTGTTTGTTTGAATGTCAGCTATGGGGAGTCATTAAACAAGGATACAGATGCAAAGGTAAGGTGCTTTATACTTTGTTAATTTTAATCTATAATTGATGATAATAATCTGATAATCCTGAGATCCATTGCTGTGTCTATGGACCTATTTAATTGGACCTCTCAGGGAGAAGACTGATTCAAGAATAGTATGTCAGACATATGGTCCAGAAGAAATGCAAAGATGAAGGGGCTCGTAACTGATAGCTTTAACCCTTTGCAAAACATCACTGAATTCAGAGGATTTGGGAACAGACCCTTCTATTCCAGTGGGCTCAAACACCAGCATTGTGAAGACTGTGCAGCACATACACAATCTGTGTTTTGCAGAGTTTTCTTCCTCATATAGGTATCTGCTTTTCCTGCAAATCCTATAGTGACTGAATGTCACTATTTTGTATTTGAACAATGAAAATGAGGTTTCTATGTATATAGCAAAGGTGTGTCATCGGTCTGCTTAAAAGACGTATGCTGTTACTTGTAACACATGTATAGAACACCAAAGAAGCTTTCTTGCTTCCTTGGGTGGCAACGCAGTGTAAGAACTGATCTTAGAGCTACAACAGAGCCACTGAATAATGTAAACTGTGTTTTGTTTACAGACTGTGGAATGAACTGTCACAAGCAATGCAAAGACCTGGTTGTAATAGAGTGCAAGAGAAGACCCAAAACATCAGTTGCAGACAGCAGCCCAACCTCTGCTCTTGCTTCAAGCCTCTGCCCAGTAGGAGTTAAGGAACAATTCCACGGTGAGAAAAGATCACATTAAAAAGATCAAAAGATCTAGATAGTCTTTCCTTTGCTCCTTTTCCTTTTCAAAGCTGAGTTGTACAGCATCAGTTTAGGGTTTTTTTTTAGTTAACTGCAGTGTTTTATCAACAGATAAACTACAACCAGGCGTGAGCCTGTACCAAGTAACGCCATTCCAGTTCTAATCTGAGTAATGAAAGGCTCCCTTTCTGGGAGATCTCTTGACACATTACATAATGTGTGGCACACAAATTCCGCAAAAACTGAGTAAATCTTCTGTCAAAGTCTCATGAGAACTAGATGCAATGAACTGAACAGCTGACAGGTTCCCTTGATTCTCTCATCTTGTGGCAAGCTGGTCTTAGTACACTCAACAGTTTTTACCACTGTTGTCACATTAAGTGACTACTGCACTGTTACAATTCCGACTTGGATTTTAATGTGGAGTTTATGAAGTCAGTTTACTTCTGTATCTGTGTGCTGGGAAAATCAGGAGCTAATTGTATTTAATTTTTCCGCTTCGGCTGTTGAATCTACTACTCTTCATCTGTCCATCTTTCATTCAATCAGAAGTCTATTCTCTGTTCTTTTCTTGTATATCTGTATTAAATTTGTATGAAAGGTGTACAAACTTTTCATGTTGTGTGTTACCACGTAGGCCTCCAAAGGAGAAAACATTGTCTTTGATTTAGACATCAGACTACCTTTGTTTTGAATTTTGACATTCCAAATCTCTCAATACTCACTTTGAATATCTCTCCTGCCTGTATCTAATGTTCTTCAAGTCTACTTCTTGTCACTTTGATATCCTTCTTTTGTGTTGTATTTAAGATTCATACTGCTGGATTCCATCCTAGGCTTCCTATTAGCACAATGCAGCAAATTTCTGTTGATAACTGACCACATGCATCTCTGTGATGGCACCTGCCATGGCTGCAGCACTACATAATAATCACCTCATGGGATGTCATGCTTATGGAGAGGTTGAGCTGTGCTGTGTTGCCCCATATCACCCAGTGTGCCAGAATGTGGTACCTCTTAAGGCTATATCATGTCGAAGAATGAGAATTCAGGTCTTGGTTGAAGGTGTAAGCGTCATCTGTTCATCTATATCTCCATGTAATTCTCCAGAGCCTCCAGCAGCTACTGGACTGACTTTCTTCTTTCCCCTTATGTGTGTAATATGCAGTCTTATTTTGTTTTCTTCCCAGTGACAGAAATTACTTTATCTGAAACAGATCTTTTTAAAATCCTTTAATCATATCTTTTGCCCACTGCTTCTAACATTGTGGGTTCTTCCTCTCTCCCCTTTTAACTGCAAAAGTAAAAGTATTTTAGGATGACCTATACAAAAGCAGTGTAAAATTAAAAATTTCATTATTTCACCTTTATGAAGAGGATAAGTTTTGTCTTACAGCTGCAAGTTATGGTAATGCTGAACTAACACCCAGGCTTAATCTTCCAGCCCAATCACTAAGATTGATGGTCTGTATAAAACCTCATAGCCATCTAGAAGTTTTTTTCTCCAGCTGATCTTGATGAAACGCTTGGTTTTCCTCTTACTGATCCATATTTATGTTACTGAGACATGCAAAGAGTTCCAAGAGACACAACGCTGAGAAACTTCCAGTGACACCTATTTTGGAGAGCAATTAATATAAAAAGAATGTTTGTTTTATTTATTAAAACCATGTTTAATTACTGTGTGTTCTGTTTCTCCTTTCCTGGGATAAGATCTTGACTCAGTTTACCATATATATCCTACAGGACAAGAAGAAGGACTATTCACATTTCCTAATGGAGAAGTTGTGGAACACAGTGAAGACAGCAAGGACCGAACCATTATGCTCATGGGTTCCTCAGCTCAGAAAATCTCAGTGAGACTGAAACCATCTGTGGTTCATGAAGGTACACAGACCGATCCTGTACTGCTGGCTGGTGATGTATCTCGTAGGCAGATTGAGAAGAAAGAACATAAGATGCCAGAAAATCCTTATCTCCAGCCAGCTCCACCATCCCCATTTCCAAGCCCAATTCTAGGCCGCAAAAAGGCGTATGTTAAATGGGAAAACAAGGACTCCAGCCAGAAAAAGAAAGAGGAGCATCACAGCTGTAAACCCTCATACCAGGAACTTGAGCAGGTACATACATGATGAAACAAATTCTGGTTGGAGTGTGTGTGTGTGGGGTGGCTGAGTGGGAAGGTGTCACCTTACTCCAGTGTAATTAATTTTTGGAACAATCCATGAATAGCATCATAAATTCTTAGCCACTTTAACTCCAGTAATGCTTCATGTCAAGCATATATTTTAGTAGTAATGTAGGGAATAATTTTTGAAGCCGTTGTTATGATTACACTGATCCCCATTAGTCTTAAAAGTTATAAGCAAGAACGTGATCACAGTCCAATTGCTTAGGACAGCATGTTATTCTGTAAAGTAAGTAAAAGAGTCCTAAATTTCTTCCTGCTTTTGGTGGCCTCTGCCGCCGAATAAAGAGGGCCGGGGGAGGTGGGGTGGGAGGGAGACTCTGCTTTTGCTCAACTGACAGTGAATCCTTTCTTTTTTTTTGATAACTTTAAGTCACCAAGAAATTTTCCTGTGAACAGACATGATGCCTCTTGCTAGATTTCACCTGCATCAGCCCAGTTGTGGCTCACCTTACTCTACAAGTGTTCTGACAAAATAGCTATTCATAAGGCTGTCACCTCAGATTTGGCCCAAATTCAGGTTTGTAGAAACAACACCTTTCCAGACAGATTAAAGAGATTATCACAGTATCAACAATGCAATGGAGAATGATCCAGATATGACTATGAAGGACAAAGGTGGATGTATTTTCATACTTAACTCATTGCTGTCTTTATGCTGAGATGGACAAACATGGAAACAGTCCAGAAACAGGACCACAGCCTGATCTTTGTATGATCAGTATAACTTTCAAAGTATCCTTTGCTATTGTTAACATGAGCTCATCTTTTACAAAAGATGATTGGTTTCTTAAGACAGAGATTAAGACAATTAGCAAGAATTTTCCAGTATGGACCATTTCTCTTTCAGTCAACAGCCCATTCAATATAGACAAGGATGTGAAGTGTGGATGCACTTGTAAGAACTGGGTCTTTAAAATGTCCAATAATTTACACTTGTCCTTGCTCCCTCAGCAGATCCCAACCTCAATTACTGAAGAGCATCTGATGTTGCAAATTAATGTCTTACGGTACATCAACTTCTGCGTTAGTAGAGCAGAAAAGTGTGAGCTGTGTTCTGGTTTCTCCTAGGTTACTGCTGTTATGAGAGGAGTATCGGAGGGTGGATAAATGCAGGTTGTGGACATGACTGTCAGATACCGGCTGCTGGAAAGTTCTAAGAGTATACACAAAGAATAGACCAGTGACTGTGAAAACATTCAAATAAGTTACTGGTTCCATTTCACTGATAAGAGCTACACCAACTTATGTTTATACCAGCCAACCTAAACATAAAACCAGGGAGTCCTGAGACAAATTCAAAATAAAATACCATTCTCTGTTTTTTTTTGTTTAGGAAAGAAATATTCTAAAGGTACACAATGAAGGTTTAAAGATCCAACTGGAACAGGCACATAAAACAATTGAATCTCTCACAATCCACAGAAGAAACCATGTAGCGGACAACCTACAACACAGAGACTGCTCCTAGCAGACAAGATTGGAAATCTCCTGTGGCAGAATGTAAGACTGAAGGAGGGGTTGTGATAAAGCTGCTTTACCAAGTGAACTGGAGAGTCTGAAGGATGTTAAACATAGTCTCTTTATTCAAAACATTTCAATATTAAACACACACTCCTAAATGTATAAATCCACTTCTTTGACTTTGTAAGGTAATTTAGCGTTATCTGTGCAATTATAATAGTTTCTTCTGGGTTTGTTTTTAAAAGGAGTGACGTTGCTGAAGTTTCTGTTCATGATGAAGACCATGTGGATTCCCCAGTGACTTGGCTGCCAGCAGCACATCCTACTCTACAAGTGTTCGGACAAAGTAGATATTCATGAGACTGTGTCTCCTCAGATTTGGCCTAAATTTAGGTTTGTAGAAACAAACATTAGATAAAGCTGAGTATTTAAGTAAAACCGTAGAAATATTCCATTAAGCGAAACAGTTTTTTAACGTTTTGGCTGAAACCAATTAAATCATGATATGAACTGTCATCTTTATTTCCAAAGTTTAACAAGAATGTTAAAAATAATTAAGCTAATGATATTTGATTATTTGATTCTTAGACTTTGTTAAGATAGACTGACAGGTTTTTTAAACCTCTTTCAGAGCTTTAGAAGTCCTGCTGCTTAAAGGCTTACTTTTGTTGAGGTAAAACAGATGAGGCAATAGAGAGTTTATATTGAATATTGTTTCCACTTTTATGTTCCATGCCATGGCTTGGAACACAGCCCTACTTATTTGGCTTAAGGGATAACTTGTGTGTTATTTCTCTCTCGTGTCAAAGTGGACACTGTTGTTGAGTAGAAGCTCAAGGGTCATATTATGAGGGAAACTGTACAGTAATCCCAGTGCAACAGTTACTGTATTCCAGAGCAAAGGATTCTCCATTTTCGCTCTCCTACATTTCATATGCACTTTAGGTAAAGAGTCAAGATGAGTGTGCTCTTCTGTGTGTAAATTTTGTATAGTAAAAGGTGCTAGGGAGGTAACTTAGTTTTCTTAAAGCTACAAAGTGTACATATTGTTAAGAGACAACAAAATGGTCATTGAAGTTACTGATAAATCTACTTCTCAGAATAGCCAATTTTAAAATTGCATTTGTGTATAAAACTTGCTTGTATTTATCAAACACAGATTTGTCATCACACTTTTAAACATCAGAAACTTAGGACTTCAATACATTTATCTAGAGTTCACTTAATGCTCCTTAAAACTTGTAAGTTACAAGTCCATTATAAGCTGAAATTTAGGCAACTTATTACGATAGCATGTGTGCTTTGTGTTCAAAGTGGTATAAGTGTACGTTCTATCCACAATTTATAGTCCTTATCAAGTATATGAATGCTTTATTTATTAAAAAAAGTCCATTTGAAACTACTTGACAGTTTAGTGAGTCTAAAATTCTTCTTTTGAACTTGGTTTGTGCTTGCATCTTCATGTATAAGTAAAAACAAAGTGAGGGAACTAGTAGTAGTAGATTTTCTGTCACTTTACTGTAAATAATGGACATATGTAAGACAAAAACCAGCAGCTGTGAAGAATGTGCAGCTTTTTTCCTCATACACTAAACCTGAATTATTAACATGGAATTGTACTTTGATCAATGAAGCAATCAGAATGGCTTCCAAGTCTGCAAAGTTGCTTTGCTGGTTTTCTGTAAGCTTCTTGATTTTGTCCTCTATTCAGGGAAACTACAGTAAGGTGTATTTCAACAGGCATTTAGCAAATACAGTTTGTTTCTGCAACGATTAAAATAAACAAGATAGATAAAAGTTGAATGTATTTTCATGTATTTTGAAAATACCCCAGAAGAACAGCTAAGACTCATAAATCTTGTGCAGCTACCTGATTGCTTGTAGTCTAAACTCTGTATTCTAATAGAATTTGTGTGTATTTGTATATACTTTGTCTGTGCTGAGGGTGGAGATCATGAACAAAAGCTCTTATTTAAAAAGACAATTCCCAAACATCAGCAGCTGTCCCAAAGGCTACTGTGTTGTTAATACAGAAAATCAAGTTACAACCACAGATCTATACAGTCTTAAATGCTAACTTAATGTTCTGCTGTGCTGTCATCTCATTCCTACAATCTGAACAACTTAAAAGGGATCTGTTTGCAGAAATGTCCTACAGAACACATATGTTGTGCTGCATGTATGCTGGAGACTTCCTGCTTGAAAGAGGTCAGTTGATACCTGAAGAAATTCAGAGCTCTCAAAGATCCTTCAGGTTCCCTGTTTGCCCAAACAAATTATAGTTTTCTCCCTCCCTCTCTTTTTATTTTTTTTAACTTCTTTTCTTATGGTAGTCCTGCCCCTCTTTTGGAACTTCCTCTCTGCTGCATCAAAGAGTAATAGCAGAAATTGAATGCAGGGATACTGCTAAAACAGACAAAGCTAATGAACAGAACTCCCATCTGTATTAATTTTCTAGCTGCTTTATGCTAGGAAATAAGATAAAAATTAAAGTACTAAGTGCTGTTTAAAAGTCACGTGTTAGCAAACACTGGTATTGACATTTATTTTGTCATGTCTAATTTAAATGAGAAGCACTCACCTTTATTCCTCCAGGCTCAGCTCTGTTTAATGTTACATACAGGAAGGTAGAAAATACAAGTGCCCTCCCCACCCCACCACCAACTACTGTTTATTTTTAAATAAAGCGTGAATTCTGATGGTTTAAAGATAGAGTAACATCACAATTAAAAAAACAGAGCTACTGTTCATATTCAGGTTAAACACAACTGCCTTTGAAGTAGCTTACATACCTTTTTTGGAAATATGTTTTTGTTACAGTAGCAATCTGTTATTTTGTTGTAACTGATCTCTGTGGCAACTTGAAAAATTTAATGCTGTTTAAGAAGATTGAAAAAGTGTACAGATTGTAAAGATTTTATATAAATTGTAAGATTTCAGTTTAATATTTATAATAGAAAAAATACTAAGATTGCACTTCATGCCTCTGAGTTTGTATCTTAAAGAAATCTGAACCACCTGTATACAGCTTCCTTGACCCTGTTGTCTGAGACATGTCTGCAGGATTAACCTAGCATGGGAGTCCCAGCCCAGCTTCACCTTCTGTTGAGCCTTGGTAACGCTGCCTGAGAAAACATCGAGGAAGCTCTGTGTTTGCAGATTAGTCTTTCCTTATTTTAGCGCTTGATACAGTACAGACACTTCTGGTACTCACACTTCCAAGTATTACAAAGCACACTTCATTAGTACAATTTGTCACATTTGTTAAGGGTGCCAATTCTTGAAAGATTTCAGTGTGGAGCCAAATTTAAACAATGCTGCTGTAGCATCTGCTAACACTGGCTATCGCACAGGCAGCACTGTAGCACCCTAAAGAATTGCTATTCTCTACGTTGTAGTAACCCTCAAAATACCATATCATCTCAAATGTTTTTACATAGGGAGGTGAACATTCATTTAGTTATCTTCAGTCATCGGAGAAAGATAAGGGAAGAAGACAAGGAGTGCAGACTAACTACTGAAACAGTTCCTGCTTATATGGGCAAATCTGCTCAAGTCTTGCACATACAAACCAACTTGTGTTTTACTTCATAATTATAGAAATTCAGAAAAGAAAACTTCAGAAGTAATTTGAGATATTTCCTTAGTTTATGTAAAGACAACAAAAGACAACAGTAACTATCATATAGAGCTATGATTTTTATTTTTTAACTAAGACAAAGTTTAACTGAGACCCTTACTAATCCCAGACAGTGTAATAGGGATGTATTTGTGGCATTCCCTGTCAGTTGGAATTCTCCTATATTGTTATCTATAGCCTTCTCCATTTTGGTCAAAATATATCTTAGTTTTCATTATCATAAAAAGTATGTTCCATCACCATTGTAAATCACCAGCAAGAGGAACATACGACAGTGGATCCAAATCACACTACGCAAGGGATGCAAGTAGCTTCAAATACAGTACTTTATTCCTCAGTGTTTACAGCTGCTAACAAAAGTGTCTCAAATCCTGAAAAAAAAATCCCCAACCCATTTTTCAATTCTTGAGCAAACAAAACAATACTCAGGTAGATATTCACTACGCATGAATAAACACAAAAATGCTTACAAACATATATATGAAAATCTTTTACTTACAACAGAATTTTTGAAAATAAATTTTTTCTGAGACAAACATACAAAATTTCAGAAGAGGTTTATACCTATTATTTTCATGGTATTATTGCAGTTTTTGATAAATTAAAAGCATACATTCTGACACCAGAGGACAGAAAAGGATACCTCTATGAAATGTGGTGGTGCTTACTTTAGTTTTCAACTACTGGCTTCATATTTTGGAATTGCTTAAAGAGAGACTGAAATGGCCAGATTGGAAAAAAAAAACAAAACAAAAAACCAACCACAAAATCTCCAACCTATTCAAATTTCCATTTTCTATATGGTCTACATGAAGAAAACTGAAATATATTAAAATAATTTAACTGTTAGAATTACATGTAGGCATATAGCTGGTTTACTTGATGGTTTACTTCATTCAGAACCACCCTGCCTGCTACAAAGAGGATAAACCAATGAGTGCAAAGGCACCAAGGTATATCCACATACAGAGTTACACCTGTTCAACTAAAACCAGCACATCTCCACATCTTAAGACTGATGAAATCCTTAGGTGTAGATAAGCCACTTGATTTCCCTGTCATGCTTCCGTGGTGAAGCTAAATGCTTGACTGCTGTTCAGAAATTACTTGTAGCAAAAACATAACATTGGAATGAGCAAACAGAATTTTATATTAAGGCTTCAGTTGTTAAAAACTCTCTCTACTCCATTGCTGACCAACACTTCACCTCTATGGCCAGCAGTCTCACTTGGTGTGTCACTGATCTGTGAGCTATTGCGGAGCATTCAGCAAAAACCAGGCTCAAGAGCACAAAATCCAGTACTGTGCTCCCACACAACCCTTGGGGGTCTCCATAATGACCGCAGAGGCTGCCAGTGGTGTAGGCC